TATCTCCTTCATCTCATGAAGATAAGCACACATCTGGGTCTCAGTTACTCTCACAAAATCCTGGCCGGAGTCACCTAGTCTACAAATGCTAGTCAGCCCTTAGTCTCCCACACCCTGAAAGATTTATTTCAGTCTTAGTGCTCTCCTTGTCACTGCCATCTATGTTTTAGCCCGAGCCACCATAGCGTCAGTTTCATTAACCACTATTATTCATACTGCTGGTGCTTTTCAAAAGGCTATGACAAATGTCACTTAATAAATGATAGAACAAACTACTATTTTTTTTTCGAGAAGTTATTGCTACAGGGCACATGCACTCGCCAGAAAGACAGAGAGAGAAAGAGAGACAAAAAGCAAGAAATCACCCCCCAGGAAGGATGGTCACGCCGCAATCCCATCTCCTCCATTCTCCTCTCGGGATCTTGGGCAAGCACACACACGCACCTGGTGTCAGTTTAAGCCACCGGGCCCGGGACTTGAACTGCAGTCGACTACTTGAGAGTCTAGCGACATAGCCATTACACTAACTGCTGGATCCCTGAACAGGTTGCTATTGACAGAAGAAGATTATCTTGGCTTCAGGCACTTGAAGTAGCCATATGATGGCTAGGAGTTCTTTAAATGATCTAACCCTGCCAAATACTGCAGTGTGATTGAGAACACCATAAGGGGTATGTCACATTTACCCCACAGGGCTAGCCTTCCTCCTTGGTAAAATGTAAAAGAACACCTTTTGAGAGCCTTTTCCACCCATCTTGGCTCCCAGGTTTCACATCTGGAAGCCACTGTCTGCCAAGAAAACAACTTGTCAATATACAAAGAGACCCGAAGGTGTACCTCACACACACTCAGGACAGTTGCAAATGGCTGAATCCTTCTGCCTCATTTTACAGGATTCATTTACAAACATGGGGTACTGTTGCAATGGCAGCCCCAGTTTGTTGGTATTTAGTCCTAGCCTTACAATGTCTTTGCCATCTCTCTCGAAAACTCCAAGATCACGAAAATTGCTTTGACTGCTTACCTGGCTCTTCCTACTGACTGTCCACGTGTTCTTTACAAAACACCAGGAGATGATTTAGATGGAGGTGTTATCTGATGGATGTGTTTTCCAAATTCCAGAATATTTGTCTTATTCCATGGATCATATGGAAACTCTCTTTCTATCCACAACTAAACTCACCACGTCCCAGCAAACAACATTTACTTTAAATTTTCTGAAAAACAACTTCTGTTTCCTTTAATATCCTAATGCATACAGAGGATCAGAGAGACTCGGGGGCCCCCCCCCCT